ACTAGTAAAATAACGGAATGCTTCTATTTTTGACAGGTTGTCCCCCCAAATAAAAACAAGCCTTTCTCTTCGGTGCGACACAGAAAGGACCGTGTGTGCCTGTCCCGCCTCCCCTCGAACCCGGGCAGCGGCGGTGTGTGCAGGAACAGAGCCGGCGAGGCGGCCGGGGATTTTCCAGGCGGAGGAGGCCGGGCAGGAGGCCGGTGTCCGCCCCGGGCGCAGCCGCAGCGCGGGGGACGGCTGCCCCCTGGCGGCAGGTGGGCGCCACGGCCCGCGCGTCCCCTGCGCAGGGGGCGCGGCCAGGACCCCAGGGGACGCGGGAAACCATGGCTGGACCCGGGTCCCGGGCGTCCCCCCAGGATCACGCCCCCAAGGATCACGTCCCCCCAGGATCACGCCCCCCCAGGATCACGTCCCCCCAGGATCACGTCTCCCCAGGATCACGCCCCCCCCCAGGATCACGTCCCCCCCAGGATCACGTCCCCCCCAGGATCACGTCTCCCCAGGATCACGCCCCCCCAGGATCACGCCCCCCCCCAGGATCACGTCCCCCCAGGATCACGTCCCCCCAGGATTACGCCCCCCCAAGGATCACGCCCCCCCCAGGATCACGTCCCCCCAGAATCACGCCCCCCCCAGGATCACGCCCCCCCCAGGATCACGTCCCCCCAGAATCACGTCCCCCCCAGGATCACGCCCCCCCCAGGATCACGTCCCCCCAGGATCACGCCCCCCCCAGGATCACGCCCCCCCCAGGATCACGTCCCCCCAGAATCACATCCCCCCAGGATCACGCCCCCCCCCCAGGATCACGTCCCCCCAGGATCACGTCTCCCCAGGATCACGCCCCCCCAGGATCACGTCCCCCCCAGGATCACGTCCCCCCAGGATCACGTCCCCCCCAGGATCACGCCCCCCAGGATCACGTCCCCCCAGGATCACGTCCCCCCCAGGATCACGTCCCCCCAGGATCACGTCCCCCCCAGGATCACGCCCCCCAGGATCACGCCCCCCCAGGATCACGCCCCTCCAGGATCACGCCCCCCCAGGATCACGCCCGAGATCACGTCCCGCTTCTCCACTCAGCACAGGGAGAGGGGCCCAGGGCGGACAATGGAGCAAGAGGAACGGCATCCTGGGCCGCAGCTCTGGGGACCGGCTCCCTCTCCAAAGGGCGTGTTGTAGGCACTCGCCCCTCCGAGGACCACGGCGCCCCCAGACGGCAAAAGGCCTCTACAAATCGGGGCCGTTGACCTTTCCACGGCAGGAAGCGCGTGGCAGCTTCTCTGTGGCGTCTCCGCGCGGCTGGCGTCCCTCCGCCCGGACTTTGGGGACATTAGTAAACAAACAAGGGGGCTGGGGTGGCAGCCTTACAATCAAGGCAGCCACGCGGCTAACGTGAGGCCCGCAACTACGGGGCCGTGTAACTAACGGGGGCACGCACTAGCGGGGGCACGCAACTAACGTGGGTACGCAACCAACGGGGGCACGCAACTAACGTGGGTACGCAACCAACGGGGGCACGCAACTAACGTGGGTACGCAACTAACATAAGCACGCAACTAACGGGGGCACGCAACCAACGTGGGTACGCAATTAATGGGAGCACGCAACTAACGTGGGGACGCACTAACGGGAGCACGTAACTAACATGGGCACGCAACTAACGTGGGCACGCAGCTAACCGGGGCACGTAATTAACGTGGGAGGATGCAACTCTCGTGGGAGCGGGGAGCTAACGTGCGGCACGTACGCAGACGGAGGTGCTGACCGGGGGCTGCGGCAGGTCCTGCAGAGAAAGCGCGAGATTGCATCCCACTCCCCCGCACCAAGTGGATGTGGAATTTATGGCTTATTTCTGGAACTTTTCCATTGAATGTTTTCCTTCCCCATTGGCCGCGGGTACCGGAATCGTGGACCGTGAAGCTGCGGTTAAGGGAGGCCGCCATCCTGGAGGTTTGGGGCCCGGCCTCATGGGCATCAGCCCTGCTCCTGCAAAGGCGGGCCTGGGCCCCGGCTGCATTCCGGACGCGGTGTGCTCCCAGGAGAATACCCAGCACGCCGTGTCCACACCCCAGACACAGCAGGCGCCTTCCCGGAAATGAAAACCCTGCAGCTGCCCGCACAAATCCCTCCTCATGAAGTACGGTTTCACTTAGCAAATCCTTTTGCTGGTTGCTCCCCTCGGCAAATACCATTACTCCTTTGGTGTTCCCTCCAAACAAGAAACTCCATGGGGACAGAAGATACTCCACGGCAAAATTCCTGTTTAGGGAAAGGGATATATATATATATATATATATATATATATATATATATATATATATATATATATATAATTTTCTTAATTGAGTTCAGAGAGGAAGAGAGAGGGAGAGAAACATCAAGGATCAGAGAGAACCATTGATCGGCTGCCTCCTGCATGCCCCCTTCTAGGGACTGAGCCCACAACCTGAGTATGTGCCCTGAGTGAAAATCCAACCATGACCTCCTGGTTCATAGGTAGACTCTCAACCGCTGAGCCATACCATGCAGCACATGCCACATGCTTTACATGTGACCTGACATGAAGATCGAAGAACAAACTGATAAGCCACCAAGAGGTGGCACTGTGCACCCACAGTGGTGGAACCCTACTCAGTAAATGTGGAACATAATTTATGTTCAAGAAAAACATAATTTATATCAATATGTATGCTAGAGACAATAACTACTGTGGCTCTTCGGGAAAGGCCTAAGTATTAAGACTACAGAAAGACATATGAAATGTATTTTTCAAACCACTGCCCGTGATATAAGCTGTGTGACACAGCCTTTTTTTTTTATGACTTTTTATTGATTTCTTTTTTAGACAGGAGGGTAGAGGGAGAAAGAAAGAGAAACATCAATGAGAGTGAGACATCGGACTGGCTGCCTCCTGCATGCTCCCACCAGGATCAAGCCCACAACGGGGAATCAAACCCTGATCTGGAATCGAACTTGCAACCTTTTGGTGTATGGAATGACACTCAACTAACTGAGCCACATGGGCCAGAAAAGACACAGCCATTGTTTTTTGCTTCAGTTACACTGTTTTTAAAAATAAGGAAACAAGTCATTTTTAAAACAAATACATATATATTTTTAATATAAATGGAAACTAAGTATTCACTAATGCCAGAAATAATCTATCTTCAACTCCGGGCTCTTTTCAAAAGATACAAAATCATTGTTTCAAAAGATACAAGATGCACAGCAAAATCACACTCACTCCTTACAAATGTTAAATAGCACACAATTTAAATTCATCATGAACAATGATAATTTTTCAGTAGCTTGAAATGTCAGTTGTCCATTCCATAATTTTTTATGAGTAAAAAAAAAAAAAAAGAGCGAATCATGTACCTTAATATTATTTTGTATTACTCCAAAGTACAAACCACCCAAAAGAATAAGAGTCCCATGCTTATATGTAGTATAAAAATACTGAGACATGTATCAGTCATAACTCATATAATGAAAACTATATTTTGGAATATGTTTCATAAAGACAAGTCCAACATTTCTCTTTGGTTCGTAAAATACAAGAGGTAGATTCAAAGAAAATAAATGCCTATTATGTCACTAGATTTTCACGACAATGTTGACAATTTATAATAGCAATTACTAGAAGTCAAACACGTTTAGAAACTAAATTTTAAAAAATGGTAAGAATAACTCCAACTAATAAACTAGGTCCGAATCACATAAATCAGAAAAGATAGTTCTACCAAAAAAAAAAAAAAAAAAAACCCAAAAAGCTCTAATAAAATAAAAACATGCTATCAATATTAAAAATTATTTTCTATATCATAACATGTTCTAACACTTGGGGCAAGAGATATTAGGATAGTGTATGTTCATAAATTGGGCCTTTTGTTTAAAAAAGATATTTACTGCTAATAATATGTTCTACTCTCTTAGGTTTGTGCTGCCCGAGTGGAGAATTGCAGGTTCAAAGAAATTCAACAGGAAGGGAGGACAGGGGATGCCTCCCACCCGGGATCAATCCATTTCATGCAATGAAGGCATTTCAGATGACCAAGAATGGTCCTCAGAAACCTTCCTGGTTAAATCTGATTCAAGTAGGAAACCAAGGACGAAAAAGCGACAGACGCTCTTCCAACGCTGGTCTCCATTAAAATGCTTTGTGTCCTGGTGCTTGGCAAAGCCAAGAGAGAACAGCAACAGAACCCTTCAAATAAGTTGTCTTGTGTTGGTAACGTACCAGGAATATGCTGACAGTCAGTGTAGGGGAAACTAAATTACAGTGCAAGGGAAAGAGAAAAGGGGCCACAGAATAAGTATTATTTTATCACAAAAATGATATCCATAGGTGAGGGTATCCCCATGCCTTGAAATCCAGCCACTTGCGTTCATTCTTACTCAGCTTACAGGAAGGTAAGGATAGAAACCCTATGCTTACTTGGCTGCCGGAAGGTATGTCTTTCATACGGTGACTTTTGATTAACACAGGTCTATAAGGAAATGTTAAGGAGTCTACAAAGACATTCAAAATACGTAAAACAGTTTAAACGTTGAGGTTTTCTGATCATCTTGGCGTTTAAGAAAAAGACAAGAAGCTGGCATACACTTGAACCACCCAACAACAACGACGGATGATTTACGATTCCACCACGCAAAACACAGTTAGTTCAAGCAGGTTCATGTTTCAGACTGAGGACTCGGGGCAGAGATTTGTAGAAAGGGCTAAGGAGAAGAGATAAAATTCATTTTCTGGCTTTTACAAAACTGGATGAGCTTATTAAAACTATGATTGTTTTAAAAACATTTCTGTATATAGAAAATTGAGACCAAGTGTTTAAATGATCGTTGATAAGCTCTTCCCTTCTGTGGGGGGGAAAAAATACTTCTTTTGCCATCAACTTGCAATTCTAAGAGGAAAAAGTCCCTCTTAGAGATTGAGAATTTCAGTGTAATCGTGCTAGAGAGAGGAAAAAAAAAAAAAAACCTTCAGCATGTCATTTCTGGGTGACTCCTAAAGCTTGTTTCATATTTTCATAAACCGCATAGCTGATGCCTACAGCCGGGAGCACCTTCATGAAGTTTGGGGTGATGCCTCTGTACATTCCCGGTACCCCTTCTTTGGAAATGATGTGTCGAAAGAGGCCAACCATGTTCAGCTGTGGGCTTCCTACTATCATGGCTAGAAAACAAAAAAGGAAACGAGGCCAATTCAATACTCAAGTCTGCTTTATTCTTGTTAGTATGCATCGTTATGCTTCAGAATGACACGGAAGGAAGGGTCAATTTTATTCCAGGGAGTCCCAGAAAGTGCCCTCTGTATGAAGGGGGAGCGGAGGCCAGACTCGGCACAGAGGTTACGGATCAAGCTGTAGTTGCCCAGGGGGAACCGTTTAAAGAAAATGACCGAGGGTGAAATTGGCCAGGGAAAGAGCAAAAGAGAAGAGAGGCACAGAAAGCATAACTTACTAATAGAGCAATAAAAGCCAGTGAATCCTAAGAGAATTAGCCCAGCTGGCATGGCTCAATGGTTGAGTGTTGACCTATGAACCAGGAGGTCACGGTTCTGTTCCCGTCAAGGGCACAGGCCAGGTTGCAGGCTCAGTCCCCAGCAGGGGGCATGCAGGAGGCAACTGATCAATGATTCTCATCACTGATGTTTCTCTCTCTCTCCCTTCCTCCCTGAAATCAAATCAAATAAAAATTTAAAAAATATATAAGAAAACAGAAGCCGAAACCGGTTTGGCTCAGTGGATAGAGCGTCAGCCTGCGGACTAAAACATCTCTGGTTCGATTCCAGTCAAGGACATATACCTTGGTTGCGAACACATCCCCGGTAGGGGGTGTGCAAGAGGCAGCTGATCAATGTTTCTCTCTCATTGATGTAACTCCCTCTCTCTTCCTCTCTGTAAAAAATCAAAAAAATATATTTAAAAAATAATAATAATAAATAAAATAAAAAAATAAAAATAAAACAAAATAAGCCACGAGGTGACCGAAAAGCCAGGAGGGCAAGTGGGATTAAAGTCGAGGGAGGAGAGAGTGTCACGTTGGGGAGGATCACAGGTCACGTGTTGTGGCGGCCACAGTCATAAGCAATTGCAGCCACCACTGACCCGGAAGCTGGCACACGCCCGGTGTGTAACACAGATGGCTGCTGGTTCTTACAGCACTGCCGGTCTCCGTGCCCATTTACAGGTGAGAAAAGGAAAACCCAGAGAGGCTGTGTGCAAGGATCTGAGCCCAAGTCTACCTAGATACTAACCCACATTCGTGGGTGGTTGTTTTTTTTTAATTCTCACTGGAGGACATGTTTACATTGATTTTTACAGAGAGTGAAAGAGAGAGGGAAAGAAAGAGAGAAACATCAATGTGAGAGAGACACATCGATTAGCTGCCTCCTGTACACGCCCTGATCAGGGCCTGGCCAGGGAGGAGCCTGCAATCAAGATAGGTGCCCGTGACCGGAATTGAACCCAGGACCCTCCGGTCCACAGGCCAATGCTTTAGCCACTGAGCCAAACCAGCTAGGGCAAAGCTTATCCATTCTTAAAATGTGTGTTCTCAACACGAGTTAAAACACACACACACACACACACACACACACACACACACACACAAAAATCCTAAGTGTTGATGCATGAAACACAGATACACATACAGTGTTATGTGCCGTGTGTCTGTGGTGTTAAAATTTCACGAAGAGGGAGTGATTGGGAAAAGGCTTTGTGAGAAGGTTCCTCAGGGAGGCAATAAAGAACGGGAGGTGGAGGTATACTATCTTCATGGAAAAACCCACCTTGAGCCTGCATGCGTGTTCTCACCAAGGCCAGTGGGTAGCTGGCCAGCTGCCCACAGGTGCTGGACAAGGCGCCACACCCCAACAACACTGCCACTCCGGGGTTCACCGTGTCTTTGGCAAAATGTTCCAGCCAGTGGGACTTCAAGAGCTGCGAGGGACACAGGAAAAAGAGGGTAGATGGCCGCTGTCCCTCACAGCTGCTCTGGCCCCGCGGGAGACGGCCACCCACTCCCGGGAGGGGCAGCTCTGCACGGGCAGGGGAGCCACTGAGGATTCGGACCCGGACCCCGGAGGTCTGCTAAATAACGGTGAAGGTCAGTAGCACCCCAACTGCTGGACCTAAAGAACATCTCCTACAGTGAGTGTTGATAAAAATAATGTAACACTACCGACTACACCTCAGTTTGTACTGGACACATTTAATCCTTTTTGCAAAGCTCTGAGGCAGAGTTATCCTTCTGATTTGATAAATGAAGAAAATGATGCCCAGCCAGTGTGGCTCAGTGGATGAGCATAAACTATGGACCCTAAGGTCACGATTCAATTTCCAGTCAGGGCACATGCCAGAGTTGTGAGGTTGATCCCTATAGATATAGGTATAGATATAGATATAGATGTAGATATAGATATAGATACTGATATAGATATAGATACAGATGCAGATATAGATACAGATACAGATATAGATACTGATATAGATATAGATACAGATATAGATACAGATATAGATATAGATATAGATACTGATATAGATATAGATACAGATACAGATACAGATATAGATATAGATATAGATATAGATATAGATATAGATATAGATATAGACATAGACATGGACATAGACATAGGTATAGATATAGGTGTAGATGTAGGTATAGATATAGATATGGACATATTTATAGATATATAGATATAGATATAGATATAGGTATATAGACATATTTATAGATATAGATAGACATATTTATAGATATAGATATATAGACATAGATATAGACAAATTTATAGATATAGACATATTAATAGATATAGATATAAATATATAGACATATGTATTGATATAGATACAGATTTAGATTTAGATTTAAAGATATAGATATAGATATAGATATAGATATAGATATAGATATAGATATAGATATATAAACATATGTATAGATATAAATATAGATATAGACATATTGATAGATATAGATATAAATATAGATATAGACATATGTATTGATATAGATATAGATATGGATATAGACATATGTATAGATATAGACATAGATATAGACCTATTTATAGACATAGATATAGATATAGATATAGATATAGATATAGATATAGATATAGGTATAGGTATAGGTATAGGTATAGGTATAGGTATAGGTATAGGTATAGAGATAGATTTAAATTAACACCCTTGAATCTACTTTGGGTCACAAACTCTTCCCTGGAATACGTGTACTTCTCCATACACAGTCAAATTCAAACAGTAAGAACTACATAACTACATTTTCAGACCCAAATGTTTGCTACAAACTCACCTCATACACAGCAAGGTCTATACCTGCGTAAGGTATGATGCCCAGTATATTGGGGATATAACCTTTGAAGAAAGCCCCCAGGCCTTCGTGCTTCAAAATCTTCCTGGCACAGTCGAATAGGCCAGTGTACTGCCCCGTTCTGGCCACGGCCAGCCTGGTCTTCAGAACCTGGTAGGGAAGGGATACACAAAACACAGCTGTTCGTGTGGCCTCTGCCACCATGACACTCTCTGGAGAGGAACAGTGTTCTCATTCCTATCAACATGGGGACAGCCAGTCTCCAGGTGGCCCCCACCAGGCCTGCTCCCTGACACTCACCCCCTGTGGGGTCCCCTCCCTAACTCCCCCAGGGGCAGTCTGTGTGGCCAACGGTTTACTCAGGGACCGAAGAATGCACTCTCCTTCCTGGGGGCTCTGCCACCCCTGAGACCACCAGTTTGGGGACACCAGCCGCCACGTTGTGTGGATGCTAAAGCAGCCTGTGCAGAGGCCGAGGGGACAAGCCAGCAGTCTCCGGTCAGCAGCCAGCAAGGCCTGCCCACAAACAGGAGAGTCTGGAAGAGATCCATCCCCAACACCCTGACTGCAGCCTGTCAGACGTCACGACAGCACGTACCTCCATAGGATAAATAAATGTCTGTGCGGTTGCTCCAGCCAAGGAACCGGAAATAAATCTCTCAAAGGTCCCTATGTTCTGTCCTTCCCTGGTAAGCATCTTCTTGTACTGTGGGAGTCAATTGTAAGCGCACATTAGTACCTGCTGTAGACGGAATTGTGTGTCCCTCCCCACAAATGCAGTGTGGGAGCTGTAACCCCCATTGGGATGATATTTGGAAATGGGACCTTTGGGAGGTCAGTAGAGGTAGACAGGGTCATGAGGGTGGCAAGTCCTTATCAGAAGAGACACCAGAGAGTTTTCTTTCTGTCTTTCTTCTCCTCCTCCTCCTCCTCCTCCTCCTCCTCCTCCCTCTCCTCCTTCTCCTTTTTCTTCTTTCCCTCTCTCTCTCTCTCTCCCCCCACATGCATGCACCAAGGAAAGGCTTTGTGAGCACATGGCAAGAGGATCGTCATCTGCAAGTCAGGCAGAGCACCTTCACCAGAACCCAAACTGGTTAGCACCTTGCTCTTGGACTCCCAGCTCCAGACTGTGAGAAATAAATATCTGCTGTTTGACCCACCCACCACATGAATATTCATTACAGCAGCACAAGCTGAATAAGACAATACCAAACACAAATCAGCTTCTGGAAGGCAATGAACGGACTGTGTGGTTATCTTTCTCAAAATGCAAACGCTGCATTCACAATACTTAGCAGGAAAGCAAGGCTTCAATGGCAATGCATTCCGTTGGCTGGACAGCAGCTTTCAAGGGAGATTCCCACGGGACACAGATGTTGCCCAGAGAGGAGCTAGCTGCTCCTTTGCTCAAACAGAATCACAGCCTTCTTTCTCAGATGCACAGAAAATGCAGGGTAAATGGCGTTCACTGTTTTTGAAAAGTGACCCCATAGTTTTTCTGTGTTGAAGGTGGGTTTATTTTCACTAGAACAAATAAAACAGTTACATAAGTGGTAAATATTAGCAACCTAGAAATCAGTTTTTAGCCAAAACCGGTTTGGCTCAGTGGTAGAGCGTCGGTCTGCGGACTGGAAGGTCCCAGGTTCGATTCCGGTTATTGGCATGTACATTGGTTGCAGGCACATCCCCAGTAGGGGGTGTGCAAGAGGCAGCTGGTCAATGTTTCTCTCTCATCGACGTTTCTAGCTCTCTATCCCTCTCCTTTCCTCTCTGTAAAAAAAAAAAAAATCAATAATAAAATATATATTTTTAAAAAATAATTTTTTTTTTTAAATCAGTTTGTGTAGGCAATGCCTAGAATTACACTGTCCCTGACAAGACAGCGCTGACAATGACCTGTTCGTAGGCTGAGAACTTGAGAGCCGTCTCCGGGGCGATTTTAAGAACATTTGTGCCGTTTCCCCTCCAGAGGGAGCGGATCCCTCCTTCTTTCACCATCTGCCGGAAGCCGCCGTAGATGTTCATTTTCTTGGAATTTGAACCGTGGACCTGAAAATAAAAGTAAAACGCTACAAGACACCGGTGACGTGTTGTTGTTACTATTCCTGAAGTAACAGTACGAACCCCTCTCTCTTCTCCAATACTGCAAGAAGATGAAAACGGAAGATAGGAGGCTTAGAAAATATATAACACACAGCCCTCGCTGGTTTGGCTCGGTGAGCAGAGCGTCGCCTGCAGACGGAAGCGACTCAGATTCAATTCCGGTCAAGGGCACATACCCAAGCTGCAGGCTCGATCCCCAACAGGGAGCATGCAGGAGGCAGCTGGTCAAGGATTCATCATTGATATTTCTATCTCTTTCTCCCTCTCCCTTCCTCTTTGAAATCAATAAAAATATATTTGGAGGGGAAAAGAATAATTACTAATTTAAAAAAAAAGAAAAGAAAGAAAATGTATAACATATAAACAATTTAAGGAGAACCCCTATAATAATGACTGAGTATTTAAACACTTGAATAGTCGTAGGACACCAAAGATTAAGCGTTCACACATATCTGTAGCAATAATTTGAGGTTGGGCAGAACACTGAAATCATTCCACAGACAGAATTTAGGATTAATAGCAATAAAGTGCAGAGGTATTTTTTTTTTAAAGGTAGAGAAGACTGCTATGGAGAGTCTCATAACCTTTTCCAAAGCACCCTACTTCTTGTTGTTTGGAGGGGATTTGGGACAGACAGACACAAGGTCACGAGGTTCACCTGCATCATGACTTTGAGGCGGTCCAAGGGCGCGGTGCTTGTGCGGGAGACGGCGCCGGCGATGCCGCCCGCCAGGAGCTGCCTCCACCACTGACCCGACGTTTTCTCATCTTCCGTGAATTCATCCGGGATGGTTAAACTATCGCCTATGTCGATACCCTGTCAGGAGGGGGGGGGGGGGGCGGGCAGAGGTTACAGGCTCTTTCCACTAAACACAGATCATCCCAGCAGCTTATTTCTTAGTGAAGATCGGCGTCGTCCCCGGGAAGGTCACCGGACCAATCTGAGCAGAGGTGAGGGTCAGTAGCTTCCTCTCGCTAAGTGGAGTGTGTGGAGCGTCAGTTCACCAGACGTGAACATGGACAGCGTTCACCAATTTACAAAACCAACAGGCGCACTTTGTTTTCTTAATGGACTCAGAGCAGATTTTCTCCTCTGTGTCTAAGTCAGAGTGAAAGGGCAGTATTTTACTTCTTTTTAGCTAAAGGAAGAAATTAGCTTGTCAACTCTCAAAAAATGCACCCTTTAGCTTGTAATTATGTCTATGTTATGCTTTGCACCATGATATAGGCTTCAAATCAATGTATATGAAAGCCTAAGCTAGTGAGCGACCAAACGACCCATCAACCGGTTGCTATGATGCACATTGACCACGGGGGGGGGGGGGGAGATGCTCAATGCAGGAGCTGCTCCCTGATGGTCAGTCCACACCCACAGCCAACTTCCCATGGCCAACCCATCCTCCCTCCCTCTCCTCACCCTCCCCTTGGCTGGCCAGCCCTCATCGGGCCCAATCAGGCTGGCTGACCAACCTCTCTGTAGCCCTTCCACCAGGCCTGCCAACCTCCCACAGCCCCAATCTGCCCTGTTCACCAGCCAGGCCGAGGGACCCCACCCATGCACCGGGCCTCTAGCATGTAAATAAAAACTACGCATGTGAATATCCCTAAACCTATTTCCTATGCAGACTATCTCTAAATATTTTTATAAACCTGACTTGTCCTTTAAAGCATGCAACAGATTCTATATAAAATCCAGCTAACAGGCGGTATTACACCAATCTATTCTAAACTTTGCTAGAGATGACCAGCGTAGCTCGAGAGAAACACAGCTCTCCAATGGTATTATTCTTACACCTTTATTATGTAAATGGCTTTGGTGTGAAAGATTTTGTGGGTAAGAGTGTCCGGGGAAGGAGCAATGCAAAAGCTGTAACTCTCTTCCTTTGCCTGTGAGTCACAGGGACGCGGTTACCAGCTCTCTCCAAGGACACAGTAAGAACCTGGGATGTGCATGCAGCTTCAGGAGCCCCTGGGGCCTGGTTGCCACCCGCGCTGTAAACATTCCAGTGTTCTCAGGCGGCGACCATCCCAGTGGCTTCCAGCTCCAAACACGTACAAATTGGTCCACGCAGCGTACTTACGGTGGAATGCTTCCAGAAACGGACAATCTCCTCGATGTTTGTCACAGGATTCAGTAAGAAGTAGTCCCTCCACTCATCCCAGTCCACTGTCATCGTTCCATCACTATCAATGCTGGGGGGAACAAGACAGAACTTACAAATAAAACTAGCACTGCTGGCTTTTTTACAGAATGACCACTTCCTTTCCAACTTAATAGTCTCATTAAATTTTTTTAAAATCCTAGCCCAGCCGGTGTGGCTCGGTGGATGGAGCGCCGTCCCATGCACCAAGAAGTCACTGGTTGGATTCCTGGTCAGGGCTGAGGCCCAAGTTGTGGGCTCCATCCCCAGGAGGAGTGAGACAGCAATCAATGATTCTCTCTCATCCCTGATATTTCTCTCTCTCTGCCTCTCCCTTCCTCTCTGAAAACAGTAAAAAATATTTTTTTAAAAAAAAGAGAGAGAGAGAATCCTGTCTTTCTCTTATATGTGGAATCTCAAGTAAAAAACACAAAGCAACCAGATTCATAAAAACAGAGACCAAAAGGATGATCCCCAGAAGGGAGCGGGTGGAGAATGGATGGAATCCTCCTGGGATGAGTTTGCACGCGGGCAGACAAGGACACGAATTAGTGGGACGGTTATACTGTGTGACCTCAAAATACTGCCCCGCTCCAATGTATACCTGAAACAAATACACAATCATATGCCAACTGCAGTTAAACAAAAGGACAAATTTTAAAGAGAAGAAAGAGTCCTGCGTGAGGATGCACTCCCCTCTCTATGCTTTAGAAAGACGTGTGCACACAAACGAAAAGGAAGGAGCAGGAGAGAACGTTATCACACGGCTGCAGTGAGGCACGGCGAGGGGCAAGCACAGGTCTCACCCACACAGACACGGGCGCTCTCGGAAGCAGGACAGGAACGTGACCATCCAAGAAAAACAAACAACTCCCGACCCACTGGAGAGCTTACCTTTGAAGAATCTTTTTTGCTTGTTTTTCAGAAATCTTTATCCCTAAATTCATGAAAGACTGGATAATTTCAGAAGCCTCGATTTTTCCTTTAAAAGAAATAAAAACAGCATCAGCTCGGCGTCAGAACTGTAAGGACCTTAGAAATCACGATTTGCAATGCCCTTGTTTCATCAGGGAAGGCCTTGGCTGGGTTAAGGTAAACTTAAGAATGTAAGGGAGGGTTAGATTTGCTTAAGGACATAGTGCAACTCAAACACTAATCAATACATTAAACAAACACACACATTATTTCACTCCTGCTTTTTGCCTGACACAAATGGGACTCACTTCTAGCTGTTAATCCAAATGGAGAAACCATAACTCCAGTCCAAACACACATATTTAAATGTCTATCTGCTTTTTTTTCTTTCTAATTCTCAAAATCAGAGAGTATCTGCTCAAGTGAATGCTCCTCTTCCTCCTCCTCCTTCAAAAAGACTGACAAATGTAGCATAAATGACAAGTTTTAACATTTAAATTATGTTATTTTTATGCCTAAATATGAAAGAAAAATAAACCTTTCTTGCCCAGAGAACAAGGAAACATAATTACGTTTAACCCCTAGCTTCAAGTCAAATCAGAATATTGTTTCATAGTTCACATTTTACAAACTTACAGTTTCTTTTTTTAAATTTTTATTTATTTTTTTTAATATATATTTTATTGATTTTTCACAGAGAGGAAGTGAGAGAGGGATAGAGAGTTAGAAACATCGATGAGAGAGAGACATCGATCAGCTGCCTCCTGCAAACCCCCTACTGGGGATGTGCCCACAACCAAGGTACATGCCCTTGACCGGAATCGAACCAGGTACCTTTCAGTCCGCAGGCAGACGCTCTATCCACTGAGCCAAACCGGTTTCGGCCAAACTTACAGTTTCTTAACTCATTGGACAAATAATAAGTTTTCTTAACATAGAAAAACATGGATTCTATGTAAAAATCACGTGACTAAGAAACAAGTACCCGTGTTTCCCCGAAAATAAGACCTAGAGCATGGAAAGATAAGACATCCCCTGAAAATAAGACCTAGCGCATCTTTGGGAGCAAAAATTAATATAAGACACTGTCTTATTTTCAGGGAAACAGGGTATTAACACTAGTAATAATGAGAACCCCAGCCAGGTGGCTCAGTTGGTTGGAGCATTGTCCCACACACCAAAAGGGTTCAATTCCTGGTCAGGTCACATACCTGGGTTGCAGGTTCGGTCCCCAATAGGGGTGCATAAAAGAGGCAACTGATCAATCTCTCTCTGTGTGTGTGCCGCTCTCGCTCTCTCTCAAATAAATAAAAACATACCCTCAGGTGAGGATTAAAAATAATAGTTACCATTATCACCTAAGGCGGAAAAAATACACATTGTTTTAGACTCTTGGGAGTATAAGGGCTTCCTCAGAGCTGACGATGAATAGAAAATAAAACACACACCATCACTATTTTTGTCCAAGCTCTTAAATGCCAATTTCATTTTTTTCTCATGGTCTCTAAGGTACTGCATAAATTCTTGAAAATCCAGCTTCCCATCTTTGTCGATATCGCCAGTAGTAAAAATTTTCTATAAAAAAGAAAGAAAAGAAAATAGAAGTCTTTTAACATTGGGTTAAAATACTAAATTATTTGCCCACACACTTCAAGTAGATTGGCTGTTTTCCGATAAGACAGGCATTTCATAAATCCCCAGGTAGAAGACAAACACTTAGGATTCAAATGTCTAAAACAGTATGTTTCCCCTTGGATTTCCAACATCACATCATACTTTCCTTATAAAAAGCTGTCACAGATTATCTATCTCTAGGAGTAGAAATCACTGCAGCAGAGGAAGCAATAGGAAGGATGGTGTTTGGTATGTCATGTAAGCCCTTTTTTACTGCCACCCAAAATGTACACTTCCTGCCTGGGAAGACCCTCACAGTCACCCACCCGAGGCTCACAGACTCTTTTTTTTTTTTTTTTTTTTACAGAGAGGAGAGGGATAAAGAGAAACATCAATGAAAGAGAAACATCCACAGCTGCCTCTTGCACACCCCCGCCCGGGGATGTGCCCACAACCAAGGTACATGCCCTCGACCAGAATCGAACCTGGGACCCTTCAGTCCGCAGGCTGACGCTCTATCCACTGAGCCACACCGGCCAGGGCCAGCCCACACCTTGCTCTCCTGGGAAGACGATGCCTGGGGGTGGCGGCCGGCATGAGGGTCAGACCTGCAGCTCTGGGCTCGGAGGGAAAAGGCCTGACCGTCAGGGGGTGCCACGGAAGCTGAGAGGGGAAACTAACGGACTGAAGCGCAGAGTTAGAAACGAGGACCGGCTGGAAATCAAAGAAGAATCAAAGGCTGACCCCAACCCCAAGGAACTAGGACACAAATGTTCACGTTGAATAAAGAGTAAATAAGGAATCATCAAGAAAGCAAATAACCCCAGTCCGGACATCTCTGCACTCCCCTCCCCGCCCCCGCCCACCCCTCCCAGGCCCACCTTCCCCGGCTGCAGGGAAGAGCTGAAGCCCAGGTCGCCCAGGGTCTCCTCCAGCTCCCGGATGTCCAGGGTGCCGTCCTCATTGTGGTCCAGGTACCAGAACAGGTCCTGGTACAGGGAGTCCATCGGGGCGGCCGGCGGCAGGGCTGGTCCTCGACGGCTCCTCCGAGCCTCCCCGACGTGGAGGGGAGAGGGGGAAGGGGGATGTCTGCCCTGTCCGGTCCGGTCCAGACTGCAGGGATCTGAGGCAGCACATCCGCTAGGAAACCCAAGACCAGGCCGTCCGCGAGACGCAGCGCAGGGAGGCGAGGGCGACCCGCAACGGCTCCGGCTCCGGGGGAGGCGCGCGGGGCGGGGGGCGGGGGACTGGGGGCTGGGGTCAGGGGCCTCGGTTCGGTTCCGCTGAGCTCCCAGGGCAGCCCATCAGACACCCCGGTTTCCCTGGAGACTGATGCTCTACAACTCACGCCCTTCCCCCAGGACTTCCGGCGAGACCTGGGCAGGGGTGTCTGGGGAACGGAGGCCGGGGCCTGGCTGCGGGGCCATAAGGATGGGTGGGGAGAGCTAACGGTTTCTGAAAGCTTTTTGGTCACCTCTTTCTTTTTTTAAATATATTTTATTAATTTTTTTACAGAGAGGAAGGGAGAGGGATAGAGAGCTAGAAACATCGATGAGAGAGAAACATCGACCAGCTGCCTCCTGCACACCCCCTACCCAGGATGTGCAAGGTCACCCCTTTCTGAGAAGCCTTCCCTAAGAATGGTTATCATGGGGATTGGGAATTGGGGACCTAATGGAAGTCTGCCCACCTGGGCCTTTCCTTCTGCGATGCTCCCTCACCCTCTCACCCCCCGAGTCACCCCTCACGCCAGGTCCTCATCCTAACCGGCATCACAGTGGCTGCAGGGCAAGGCCACCCTATGGCCAGGTCCCAGCTCTGGCCTCAGATGCACCCCTGGGAGGGAGATCTCAAAGGAGGGGAAATCAAGGCAGCTGGGATCCCCAAGAGAAATCAGGAGATACTCAGAAGCAATGTCCCTGCCTCTTCTGAACTCCAACTCTCCCCATGCATATACTTGTGGGCCCTCATCCTGCTCCACCGGAAGTGGGAAGTGTGGTTTCACAATAAGCGCACTGCCTTTTAGGGAATCTGTTCTTCTAAACATGGCACACTCTTTAAAACGTTGAATTAAAATTCATGGAAAGCAACCAGAACACACATTCGTGGCTGGCTGGGATGCAAAATGGTACAACCACTCTGGAAGAAATTTTTTGGGGGGAAAAAGAAAAAAAAAAAAAAAAAAAAGGAAGATATTTTGGCATTTCTCACAAAACTAAACACACACAGTACAATCCGGCAATCCCAGTGCTTGGTATCCACCCAAAGAAGTTGAAAACATAGGTAACATATGTTTACACAAAACCGACACACATATGTTTGTAGCAGTTTACTCACAGTCGGCAAAGCTTGGAAACAACCAAGATGTCATAAACTGTGGTATATCCTGAGGATGGAATATTATTCAGCACTAAAAAGAAATGCACTACCTGCCTACACCGGTTTGGCTCAGTGGATAGAGCGTAGCCCTGCAAACTTAAGGGTCCCAGGTTCGATTCCAGTTAAGGCCATGTACTTTGGTTTCGTACCTTGGCAGCTGATCGATGTTTCTAAGTCTCCCTTCCTTTCTGTAAAAAAATCAATAAAATATATTTTTAAAAAGAAATAAAGAAATGCGCTACCAAACCACAAAAAGACATGGAGGACCCTGACATGCATATTACTAAGTGAAAGAAGCCAATCTGAAAAGGCTAATCTACTGTATGATCCCAACTCTATGACATTCTGGCAAGACCATGGTAAACATGCAGAGCACAGAGGATTTTCTTAGGCCAGTGGCAGTATTCTGTATGATATGGGAAAAGTGGGTACATGTCATTATACATATGTCCAGCGTCACAGAATGTACCCCACCAGGAGTGAACCCTAAGACACATGAGCTATGGGCTTTGGGTGATGATGACGTGTACATGAGGTTCATCAGTTGTAACGAATGTGCCCCTCTGTGCCAGACGTTGATCATGGGGGCAGGAGGGGCATGGGAACTCTCTCTGCCTTCCTCTTAATTTTTCTGTGAACCTAAAACTGTTCCCCAAAAAAGTAAAATTATTATTATTTTTAATCCATCAAGAAAATGGAATCAAGCCCTTGTCTGTTCGTTCTTGCTCTCCTGGCTCATCATATCAAGTGTTCAACACAAAGAGAACCATGACACGTCCTTGAAATACTCATGGGTGTGCCTGCAGGAGGAGGTTGCGCCATGGTTAGACATAAGCAGTACTGCAGGCTGTGCAATCCACGTCCTCCCCCCGCCCGCCCACCCCCGAGTGGCTGAGCAGCGGCGAGTGTCTAACGCTGTTTCACAAGAGATGCTGTGACCCAGTCGGGAATGAGTCCTCCCTCAAAAGAGACGTTTCCAATCCACGAAGAACGGTCCTTGCTTGGGCACGGCAGAGCATGAAGCTGTCACAGGCAGTCACAGAAGTCGGGCTTCCAGCCAGGGCACATGAGTGCAGAGGACCAAGGAGAGAAGACAGACGTCACGGCCAGGGTCTTAAGGAACAGACGGGCAGCACTTTATAGAACCGAGAACTGACAGTCCCATCAGCTCCTATGAGCCTCTGGACCCTTTGAGATGCTCCCCTCCTTGCTCTTGCTTCCTTTCTCCGTGCAACAGTCCTGTGCCCCTTAGGATCCTACATCTTTCCAAAGAAAGTTCCAGTGAGAGGATGTGCCCATGAGAACATGGCAGACAACGTCATGTTCACGTTGCCTGTAATCTCTTAGGCTAGCTTGTTACATCAGCCAGCCCCGAGCTTGGGTACGGTAATGCCTTCATGCTCTACAGAACCTGTCTCTTCTGCTCTGCGTATCAATAAAAGAGTTGCCATTAAAACAATGTTTTTCATCGAGAAGGAAGAGGGGGGAAAACGGTAAAACCCTATTGGGCAAGCTTCCCTTTTTTCATTTTATTGCCTTAATTCAATATTCAGACTTTTTTGGGAGCCCTACACTGTTCCAAAGTCTCCCAGGCCTACACTAAAACGAAATAACCACATTTCCAGCCAAAACTGCGGATTCCTCACCGTCAGTTTATCTTCCGCATCATTTCCATTTTGGTATATTAGAATCCTGATTATTCCCTCTATTCTTTAATGACTTGAAGAAAAAAAAAATTGGATTTTTTTTTTTCCTGAGAGTACCTCCAATGGCATCCAAACATTGGGATTATCTATTCGATATCTCTTCTTGGGAGGGGTTTCCCATTCCTGCCCTCAAAGGCTCACGGATCTACAGGCATGAAATCCCACACCCACAGCATCTCACCAGGGGCCCACTTCGCAGTGAGAGAGGTGTGGGAGGGAGCCCAGGACCAAGGCGTCCACTGCCCATACCCCATACCACTCCATCCAGAAGAGCCGGGCACAGGGTGCTGGAGTATCCCACAGGGCAGCTGATGCAGCACCGAAGAGACAATATGTGCTCCCAACAGGACGGGAATCCAGGAACCAAGAGTGGAAGCAAGAGTGGTCCCCTGACTGTCACTCCCAGTGACACATGGGGGGGGGGGGTACTTTTTACTTCCCGTTCCCACAACGCTGGGCCCTGCAGGGTTAGTTTCTGGTCCCCAAACAGGATATGCTCTTGCCAGGGACTAGTGCAAGCTCCAGCGCCACCTGGGCATTTGGAGCTCCCTGTGTCCAGGGACCGCCAGGCAAGAGAAGTCGCCATCCTAGGAGGCGTGAATGGACCCTGATCAGCAGGAGGCAGGGCTGCTTGACACAAGGAAGAGGGAGAAAAATGCAGGCCCACATACAAGGTGAACTCAGCCCTCAGGAATGCAAGTGTGTCACCAGGTAAGTCAGCAGGACCTGCAGAGAGGATGGCCGGGTGTGAGTGCAACTGAACAAAGAAGGCCAAGAAGGGAGATCATGAGTCCCAGGTGTGACCGAGGGAAGCCCTGGGGACTGCGGTTTGTCCCTCTGACCTCCCTGAGGGAGACAGGCTGGGGACGAGGCAGAGGAGCAGATCTGTGGTGTCCGGGCCAGGCCGCCTGCGAGAGAGCCGGGGCGGGAGCCTGCTGCCTACCCCATTGCACCCACTGCCTCCCTCACAGGGGTACACAGTCGCCCGGGGCTGCTCGAATCCATGACTAACCACAGCAGGGACTAGCCCTGGGCAGCCGGGCCCAACACAGGACCCCCCAGCAGACAGCACTTCCTCAGAGACTCCCCACCAGCATTGGGGAGACTTCCTAGGACCTTCTCTGCAGCTCTAAGGCAACCCTTTCTTCTTGCACTCTTTTTCTCTTTTTCAATATTTGTCTTATTTATTTCAGAGAGGAAGGGGGGGAGAGAGAGAGACAGAGAGAAAAATCAATAATGAGAGAGAATCATTGATCGGCTGCCTCCTGCACTCCCCTTAATAAGGATCGAGTCTGCAATCTGGGCAGATGCCCTTGACTGGAATCGAACCTGGGACCCTCCAGTCCCCAGGCCAACGCTCTACCCACTGAGCCAAACCAGGAAGGGCCCTTCTTGCACTCTTCTCATAGGGGTTCAACTTGCATCCTGGTCCGAAGATCCCCTCGGCACATTCCTGCTCCCTCTCCCCTACCCCTCCGGGCCTCTCCCCCCAGTAAATCTCTTGCACACCCAACCCCATCTTGCTTTCCGCCCCGCGGAGGCCCAGAACTGACAGTTACTACCAGGAGGGACCAAACACAACAGGTGGGGACATGGGGCTTGGGACTCACGCACCGCCCTGCAGGCAAAGAGCCCCAGTGGCTTATGGGTAAGGACGTGCCTCCCCCACGGCAGGAGCCCATCGCTAAGATGTCCCGCTGGTGACCCGGGAAGATGGCCCGATTTAGGGGAACACCCTGAGCACGGCAATGAGTCGGGCATTTGAAAAACATGAGGGCACTGTGCTATGAGGTCAGGCAGGCAAGCAGCATGATCAAGGAAGCAAGTCACCAGGATGATCCAGCCATGTGCCATGCAAATATATATTTTATTGACTTCAGAGAGGAAGGGAGAGGAAGAGAGAAATAGAAGCATCAATGAGAGAAAATCATTGATCGGCTGCTTCCTGCATACCCCTTACTGGGGATGGAGCCCGCAACCCAGGCCTGTGCTCTTGATCAGAATTGAATCCGGGACCCTTCAGTCCACAGGCTGACGCTCTATCCACTGAGCCAAATTGGCTAGGATAATAAATGCATATTTTATGTATATGTATAAAATACATATGTTATGGTGATAAACATATGCCATCCTGTTCCATGTGTTTGCATACATACAGTTTTATACAGCTTATTTTACGTTTATCCTTATCTGAATTTTGAAAAAGTGAAAACATTTTTTTAAAATATATTTTATTATTTTGTACAGAGAGGAAGGGAGAGAGATAGAGAGCTAGAAACATCGATGAGAGAGTTATCGACCAGCTGCCTCTTGCACACCCCCTACTGGAGATATGCCCGCAATCAAGGTACATGCCCTTGACCGGAATCGAACCCGGGACCTTTCAGTCCCCAAGCCGACGCTCTATCCATTGAGCCAAACCGGTCTCGGCTGAAAACGTTTTTAATCTCTCTTTCTCAGTCTATCTAGTCAGAGGTTTGTCTATTTTATGCATATTTTCAAACACCCCCCCCCCCCAAAAAAAGCATATATTTAAAAACGTAAAGCACATGGTTAAATAACTGGTGGGTCAAAGATGAAATCATATTAGAACCTAGAAAATGCTTGGAACTAACTTTAATAAAGGCACTTGGGGAATGCAGCTAAAGTGACTAAAGGAATATTGTAGCTCAAAATTAATAAATTCAGCATTTAATGCAAGAAGTTAGAAAAAAAGCAAATGAACCCTAGCCAGTTTGGCTCAGTGGCTAGAGCATGGAACCAGGAACTAAAGGGTCCCAAGTTCAATCCTGAACAAGGGCACATACCTCGATTGCAGGTTCAATCTCAGCCCTGATGCCTTTTGAGAGGCAGCCAATCTATGTGTCTCTCTCGCGCTGATGCCTCTCTCTCTGTGTCTCTCCCCCAACCTTCCACTCACTCTAAAAATAAATAAATAAATAAATAAATAAATAAATAAATAAATAAATAAAAATTTAATGGAAAAATACCCTTGGGTGAGGATTAACGAGAGAGAGAGAGAGAGAGAGAGAGAGAGAGAGAGAGAGAGAGAGAGAACAAGAGCAAATGAGTAAACTCCACAAAAAAGTAGAAGGAAATAAACAGAAATTAAGGGAAGAAAATAAAAACCAGAGACAATCAGCAAAAGGGACCAGCAATGACATCAGGAACACAACTACAGACCATCGGAACTTTTTAAAAAGAATAAGTGACTATTATGAACCTTGGACAAAATGGGCTGTTTCCTAAAAACTGTAACCTGAATCTGACTCAGGCCCAAACAGTAGCTGAAGAGGCCAGTCAGCACTACAGACGTGGAAGGAGTAGTTTAAAATACAAAACTATACAACAGCTGTCGGCTCTTGTGGTTGAATCACTTTCCCCCCTGGGGACACGGGTGCCCAAGTGTCCTCTCAGGTTGCGGTGGGCTGGAGAGGGTCCAAACCCCTCCTCCCCGCTAAACTTCCACAAAATTAACATGACTCAGAGAGGCCAGCCCCTCCGTGCCAATCAATGGAATGTCGCCTCCGCTCCTCAACAGGAAGTTGGTGAAACATGATTGGGGTTGGGTTTTTTTTTTTTTCTTTTTTAAAATTAAACGTATTGGGGTGACATTGGTTAATATGATGTTTCAAGAGTCCATTTCTATGATGTATGCCCACCACCAGTAGTCAAATCATCTTCCATCACCATATTTGGCCAAGACTTTGTGGACGAGAGGGGCCACACACTGACCTGACAGGCTCAGGGGAGGCCTGCATGGCGGGCTTGTAAACTCAGAGACCTACAGTCACCACAGAGGATGGTCTGAAATGTAACTTTAACTAAACGCAGTTTATGGCGGGTAGTCACCTCCTAGGCGGGTATCTTCACTGTGGAGGTCCACCTTTACCTGAACTGAGCCTGTCTTTTTGCATCTATGATAACATATCCTTGAAATGTCTGGGTAACTTGTAACTTCCCTTTTTCTGGACCCCTTGGGGCACAACCTAAAGTGCCTGGGCGCCAGGACTGATGCCACAAATTTCTTCATTGTTATCATGTTCATTGTCCCTGCACCCACCTAGGTATGTGTCCACCATTTTATTTCTTATCCAATCCCAGAGGTTTCCCCCTCCCCCTTTGCTTTCTCCCACCCCTCTAGTTCATCTCCAAAGGATTTCTTGTAACCCACCGATGTCCCCTCCTTTGGTTGCCATGTATAAGAACAGATGAGAGACTGCCGTTCTCTGAAGCACTATAGGATAGTCGGATAAGTGACTATCCGTTGAGATTCTGCTTCCCGACAATTGTCGACAGTTTGGCTCAAATAAACCACAAAAATTATTTACAGGTTGGAATGTTAACAACTTGTTTTCAAACCGATCGGAAACTGTAGGCAAAACTAGCTGGTGATGGAAGCAACTTCAGAGAGATAACAAAATGTGAGCTTTTTGCAGGATCTGGGGCACACTGACACCTGAGCGCTCACAAGCTCAAATTTGATTCAAAGTTTGCAAAGGCGCAGAAAGGCAGGGAAACCCGGAAAGAACTGCGGGCCCGTGGGCGAGGGTTCGCCCCCCTGAGTTTATCTGGAAAAATATCGGGAGCCTTTCAGAACCTGCAGCTCGTCTTTGCAGGGGGGTGCCCGGCCCCGCGCCCCATTCCCGAGCGACTCAGCCCCCAGGCGGCCGGGAGCCCCGGCTCCTCCTCCTTCCTGGCCGAGCCCGGGCCGCGCCCTCCGAGCTGGCAGCGCCCGAGTCCCCCAGCCCCCGGCCCTCGGGCCGCCCCGCCGCCACCCACCTCCTCGGCGTCCGGGCCCAGGGGGACGCCCAGGCTCCGGAGCCCCTCGCGCAGCTCGCCGACGTCGATCACGCCGTCCCCGTTGCGGTCCAGCTGCCGGAACAGGCTCTCGTAGCGCCCCGGCGGCCCCGCGTCCTGGCAGGCGGCCGCGGGCAGCGCCCAGCCCCGCAGCCGGCCCAGCATGGTCCCCGGGGCGCGGGCGGCCGAGCGAGGGCACCGGGATCCCGCACAGGCTGCCCGGGCCTGGCGTGATCGGGGATCCAGTCGCAGCCGGGGACCCCACCCAAGCCGGGGAGGGGCCGGGCTGGGGAGCCGGGGAGGAGCTGGCCCCGCGCCCGCCTCCAGCAGGCGGCCCAGGGCGGGCGGGAAGGGGAAGGGCCGCCCGGAGGCTGTGGCATCGGGGAGACTGTACGCGGGGTCCCCGCTGCCAGAGGCGCGGGTACGAGGAACAAGGACCGGGTCCCTACGAATCGTGGGCCTCAGAGTCAACTAATGAGCGCGGGGAGCGGGACAGTTTGGGGCGCAGGTCCCTTCCCTGCAAACCTCTCCCCTCCCGCGGGGCCTGCGCCCCGCCCGGAGGAGGCTGGCCGCCCGGAAGCTGGGCCCTGGGCTTTGTCTAGATCCTGAACTTACACACATCTCTGACTTTTCCCAGCACTCCGCTGGCGCTGCACATCTCCAGGCCTGTTTTCTTTTTTGTTGATTTTGGAGAGAGCGGAAGGGAGAGGGAGAGAGAGGTACCCTTCAGCTGCCTCCTGCACGCCCCCTACCTGGGATCCTGCTGGCAACCCCGGGGGGTATGCCCCAATCCCAATGGAGGGGGCCACCTCTTGGTGTATGGGAGGAAACTCAACCCACTGAGCCACAGCAGCGGGTTGGGCCTGTTTTCCATACACAAAAATGCACACCTTGTTATCAGAACTCTGCCCTAAGAAGCAGAGGAATTAAATTGGAAAGGAATTTTTTAAAAATAGCACCAAAAAGTAACAGTAATAAATAGGGATAATAAAAGGGGTGGGGGGGTGGGCAAAAAACAAAAAATGGAGAAACTCGGGTCTTCTGCAGAAAACAGCAAGCCCGGCCAGGTGGGCAGTGGCTTGCCCCACAGCTGGGTGCGTGGGCTCTGCCTGAGAGACAGTGAGCAGCGGCTGCCAGCAGCGCCTGCTACAAAGCCTCAGGCCCACCCTCTCAAGTGGAGAGATTCAGGCTTGAGGTTCGCTGCACAGGGAAGACAGACTTACCACATAACGTGGGACACGGCAGACATGACCTTCCTTAGCTAAGTTCTTTCTGGTACTAAGTTCTCCAAATGCTCCTCAGGCTCCTCATGTATGTTTCCTTCCCAAGCCCTACAATTGGTTATTTCTACTAAGGAATCCTGGTGCCTTTATTGGAAAGTGGTATGGAAGACTCCATCTAAGAGAACTGAGAGGCTGTACCCCAAGGGCAATAAGCCCAATCATCACTTTAAGAGATTTTACAAAATATCCAAGCTATACCCGAGGTTACAGTAAACAGTAGGCCTTCGTGTGAAACAGAGGCCCTGCCGAGAGCAATCCTTAATGAGGGAGAGAATGTTAAAAGATCTTTCCAAAGCACTGACCTCTCTAAACTTAGTTCCTCAACTGAAAATTGGGATAACCTTGGCCGGTGTGGCTCAGTTGGTTGGGTATCATCCTGGGCACTAAAAGGTTGCCCAGGTTGTAGGCCGGATCCCCAGTAGGGGGCATGCAGGAGGCAGCTGATTGATGTTTCTCTAACATCAATGTTTCTCTCTCTCTCCTTCCTTCTCTTCCTCAATCTTCTAATATGGTTATTAGAATTAAGCAAGAGGACCTTTTAAAATGTCTTGAAATAATACCTGGCACATAGCAGGCACTTAATAAATTTTAATTTCTTAATTTTAAAAAAGGCAGCATGGGACTTTGACCTCTGATGCAATAATTGGGTTTACTTTACCAAAATGATTATTTCATTTATAGATTTTATACTAAAAAATAAAGAGAAAATGTTTTAACAATTATTTGATACTTTCCTTTTAGGAAGAGATCCATTTCTCTTTATAACCCAGGTATTTTCTTACAATTAAGTGATTACAGTAATGACAACAACTTCATATTTCACTTCTAAGCTAATTCCAACTGTCTTTTTGTTAGTTCAAAAGCCATAGCGCTGATGATTGTTGCAGGAAGCACTTTTATGATATTTGGAGTGAGGCCCCTGAAAAAGCCCATTTTTCCTTCTTTGTTGTATATATGTTGAATGAGACGAATCATGGTAGTTGTTTTTTCCTTCTGCGCTATAAATTGGGGGGAAAAAATCAGTGTAATTTAATATTTAATCTTCATATAGTAAGATAGTACAGTGATTAACGAGAATTTACAGGGGGTGAAATTACTTCGGAGTACACCTGGCTCCCTACCTAGAGAATAGTCCCATGTGGTCCAATACCATAGTCACTAGACACATGTGGTTATCTGAATCTAAATTAATTAAAATTAAGTGAAACTAAAAATTTAGTTTCTCAGTTGCATGACACTTCAAGTGCCTGACAGCCAGTGTGCCTGCAGCTGCGGCAGACATGAAGGCTTCCCTCCTGCGTGAGCTCAGCTGGACGCACGGGAAGTCTTCAGTGAGGGATCTCACAGGAGACTGGGAATGGGGTGTGACGTCCAGAGTCTGCTGAGGCATGGGCAGATGATGGGATGGATGGAGAGTTTCCCTACCCAGAATGCCACGTAAATTAAACCCCAAAAAAGAGGGAGGAGAGTGTAAACGAATATTGCTTACCACAGGACCCCTTGAGGAATTTACTCAGGAAGATACTAACAGGATTATTTGAGAGGTTTGTTTTGTTTTGTTTTTTCAGCTTGAAGGGTATTTTCTTAAAACCTAAATTCCTGACTTTGCACCTAAGAGGAACAAGCAGATGCCCTCCCTTCTGTTTCATGTCTCCTCGCCAAAGAGAACAAAACAATGCGTTCAACTGCACAAAGGTATTAAGTTCTCACTGCAGATTGTGGCAAAGAAGTTCCAAGTTCATACTGAGTTGCTGCTGATTCAATCTGAGAAAAGGAAAACCTTTCCTTCTGCTCTGCTCGGTGCTTCCTAGCCGTGAGCTCTGGAGAACGAGCACCGGGACAAATGTGGAGAGTCCCACAGAGAACTTTGTAGAGGAAAGGAGATCTAAACTCCACAAAAGGCTCTACCATCACTCAAGATCACGCTTTAACAATCAGAAAGTTAGCTTTTCATTTAGCAGTTCTACAGTTTTTCTGACTTTTATTTATTTATTTTTTATTTTTATTGATTTTGTACAGAGAGGAAGGGAGAGAGATAGAGAGTTAGAAACATCGATGAGAGAGAGTAGTCGATCAGCTGCCTCCTGCACACCCCCCCATCGGGGATATGCCCACAACCAAGGTACATGCCTTTGACCGGAATCGAACCCGGGACCTTTCAGTCCCCAAGCCAACGCTCTATCCATTGAGCCAAACCGGTTTCGGCAGTTTTTCTGACTTTTAAATCAATTTCTACTCAATTAAAGCAAGCTGTTTTAACTTTTTAACTTCGTTTTTTATTTTTACTTCATGGGATTGATAGTTTTATTACTTCTTTATTTTATTAGCTTCTTAAAATTTGTTTTTTGTTGCTATTAATCCTCACCTGAGGATATTTTTCCATTGATTTTTAGAGAAAGTGGAAGGAAGTGGCAGAGACAGAGAGAGAGAAACATTGATGAAAGAGGGACATTGATTGCTGCCTCCTGCACTCACCCCAACCAAGGATCAAACTGCAACCTAGGTATTAAACCTGGAGCTCTCAGTCTGCAGGCCTTCACTCTATCCACTGAGCCAAATCAGCTAGGACAATTTTATTAGCTTTTTAAATTTATTCTTACTTCATTTAAAAACTAAAACACTCACCTTGAGCCTGCATGCGTGTTCTAAGAAGGGTCAGAGGGAAGCTGGCTACCTGAGCACTGGTGTGGGATAACATGGTAAAGCCCAGCAAAATCATTAAGCCAGGTTCTACAGAGCTTTCTGCATTACGTTCGAGCCAATAGTTCTTCAAACTCTGGAGGAGGAGAAAGCAGAAAACACCCTTTAACTACTGTATAGGTCAAAGCGGGAGAAATTCATTGTTCACACAACTGCAGGAAACGTTACTGAGGAGCTTCTTGATACTTTCAGTTAATCCCTCAGAAACCTGACAAGTCAGTAGAGTTGCCTCCATTTTATAAATTTCATAAATGAGGGAACTCATTCAGAGAGACTTGTGCTTTCAGGTCAGAAGCTATTTCATGAAAAGTCATTATTACCAATTTTTAGGATAAAAACTGTATTGCACCAAATTTTCCAACATAACACATAATGTCACATTTTGGGGATAAACTCACCTCATAAATACTGAGTTCTATGCCTGCATAAGGTATAATGCTTAGCATGTTAGGGACATAGCCTTTGTAAAAGGTCCTAACACCTTCTTGTTTCAGAAGCTTCTTGCCACAGTTAATAATCCCTGAGTACTCTCCAGTTTTACCTACAGTCAGTCTGGTCTTTATCACCTAAATGTGGAAGAACATATTGAAAACATATTACCAGAGTCACTCAGCTCACCTAGCAATCTAGAAAGCTATGGTGTATCACCATGTTTACTAATTATCATAGAAATAAAAAAAGAAAGCAATCTTAAACATAATTTTGATTCATTATTAACTGACTCAAGCACGAGCTTTAAAAAAAAATTTAAACAGGAGAATATAACTCATCACTATGGCTCTAATCGATACATCCAATCAAACCCCCTTACTGGGCTTGGGTTTCCTAGGCAATGGAAGGAAGCCAAACTTTCTGCCTGCCCTAGCTGGCCTAAGCCTCCACTCAAGGCTACAAAGTTTCAATTATAGAAGGTAAACAAATCCAAACAGAAACAGTTGCCACCACTGAGCAAGCAGGAGGCTTGGCTCTGCTCCAGGCTACAAAGTTTCAATTGTAGAAGGTAACTATATTCCAGATACCCCGGCCTCTGCTTGGGTGGCTGGGGTTGTGGCCAGCCTGCTTTGGAACCACTGCACTAAGGCCAATTGATACTTGATATGAGATTTAAATTCAGTAGCTATAAAATTGATCTGTGATTCACTTATGTCTTAAAAAATGAGAAAGTATTACTTTATTAAAAAT